AATTCTGTTCCAATAGTCTGCAGAATATTCTTGAAGTAAAACCACAAGTATTTGGTCGACAAGCGGGAGATCCCATGGATTTATACGAGTATTTCATTTGGTGTGAAATATTCCGTCAAATCTTAGAATGCGTTCAATATTTACATGAATTGAATCCACAAATCATTCACAGAGACCTTAAACCCGATAATATATTAATTGCACACACTGTCAGGAACGGCAGGTTTTTGAAGTTATGTGACTTTGGTTTGGCTACAGTTCAAGACAAACGTGTTCACTACAGGACTACACAAAAACATACGGCAGATATCGGGGACATGAGATACCAGGCACCTGAAATTGGTCAAGGTGAAAAATATGGTCATAAATGTGATATGTATAGTCTCGCACTAATTGGTGGTAAAATATTTGATGTGAAAGTCATACTCATTGAACCAAATAAGTTAAGGTAATTTACAACAAAATTTTTTATTAACTTTAAATTTTGAAATTTTTATTATGTTATAGCTCCCTCATATACTCGCCAAATAAAATTCTAAATTCACCAGTGTCAAAATTATACAAACTATTATCATCAATGGTTTTACAGAATTGGAATCATAGGCCGGAATGCAGTGAAGTGTTGCAGAATTGTAACGAATGGTCTATCGATAGGAATATTCTTATAAATAATACAGAATTCGGTGAAACATTGAATAGACTGAAATCCAATGAAACCTTATTTTTCTATCAATTCTTATCAACTTTTATCACACGAGATGTGACACCACTTTCAAAGATACAAAGACTACGAAAGAGTTTAAATGTATTTTTAAATAATTTCTATTGAAATCTATATTTTATTGTCTACCCTATTGTCTAATAGTAAGTCTTATTCCTATAATTAAGTTAAAATAATATTTTACCCTATTTATTCAATGAATTTGTTTCAAATAATTTCCTAAACTATTAAATATATAAGTGTAAGTTATAAGTGTAATTTATAACTGAACTTGATAAAATGAAGCTTTATATAATGTTCATTATTTAGTTATATTACTATAATTAAATAATTATTTGTTACTAAATATTGAAATATAAAATATTCTCAACTTTATCTGAATGTTATAAATATTTGACTCAAATTCTCGATTCTGGTGAAATCTGTTATCGTTGAAAGTTATCATAAAATCACGATTCTTGCGATTCTAGTCGTTTGGAAAATGTTTGTAAATTAATAATTTTATAATGTATTCAATTATTGAATGTATTTTCAAATAATATTTTTTAGTGAACAAATATTTAAACACAAATGACCGATAAAAAACAATTTTAAACTAAATATTTTTATATAAGGTATACGAAAATCACTGAAACAAAAAGCATTTCCTGATTCTTTGGGTAAAGCTTTAGATCAAATGCTTTAACACTATTAGAGACACAAATAGAAATAAATCTTTAAAAATTCAATTATAATTGCAAAACAGATTGAATTATTTGATAGTTAAAAATAAAATTCAATCACATTTCAAGTCTTGAAAAACAAATCGAAATTAAAATTAATTTCACGTTTCAATACAAATGAGAAAAAAAGTATTTTCAGTTCAAAAATTAACGGCAAATGTCTCTAAAGAATGATAAATATTTTTTTGCACAAAGTTTAGACTATTTTTATTAAGACTTTTAGTACTTTTATATTTATAAGATTCGTAAATAATACGAGAATATAGTCCAATAAAATGACCATAATCTTTTGTCACATTTTTCTCAACCCATAATAAAGTCTTTGAAATCAGTAAAAAAGTCTAACATTTAATTTATCTTAAGTTTTCAATTTAGGATATTTATGAACAAATACTTTTTAAAATGTATTCTTAAATTAAAAATCTTGTAAACTTTTAATAAAACATAATTACATAAACACTATAATTATTATGACAGTCAGAAAATCTTTGTTTTGATAAAGATTATGTCAAACTTGAAAACTTATGTTTAAATAAATTATTTTTAGAATTACCATAAGAATATATGAAGTTTTTAATGGAAAATTAAGAAAAAATTATTATTCTAACTGTAAGGATTAATGAGTTAGATTGGTTTTTATTCTTATATTTCAAAACTAAATTAAATGAAAACTACCCGAGATTTTTAATTAGTTTTTTCACTAAATTATATACAGATATAAGCTTTGTTGATTCTATTCAAAAATAATTTTTAAAACATTTAACTTGTACCAGAAAATGATGTTTAAAAAATAGAAACTTGAATTCAATGGTATTGCCATTAAAAACTCAAGAGTATGAAAAGTTATTTTAATAGATTCAGTAGGGTACTTTAAGTTAATGAAGAAAAACTCTTGAATCTTTAATGGCAATACTGTGATATTTGAAAATTAAAATTTTTGACATTCACAATTTTTCACAAATTGGATTTATGCCCTAGATCAATTCCTCATCAAAAAATAATTTTGAAAAAATAAAATCCATAAATAACGTTTCTAACAAGTACGTTAGTTTTAATGCTGATACTAAAAATCAGTCTAAAATTTTTCTGACCATAAATAACAAAGTTACGGCTGGACGTAATTGATTGTTTTTAAAAATTGACATTTTATTTTTCAAAGGAGGAACGATTTAGTAAATTGGTAAAAAATTGAAAAAATAGCTGAAAAATTAGTCTTGAAATAAACGATAAACTGTAGAAATTCTTGAATTTTTAAACATTAATAACTTTTTAACTATTGAAGTTACAAAAATAATTTTTAGATACTTATATACCATTTAAAAAGCTTATTTTACTTTGTTAATTTCAGCAAATTATATTGACAATTGGTAAACCCTTGACATTACCTTTCATTATACCTGAACATTTTGGTATACTTTATGTTAAAATTGGTTATTATTTAGTTTACAAAGTTTATAAACAGTTTACTAATAGCTATCACAAATTATGTTAATAAGCTATTATGTATTAGCAAAACTTTTTTCTCTGTTGGACATTTGTTTACAATTTTGAATTTTTGAATCCAACTTATTTTTTAATGGGTGAGTCAAACGCTCTGCATTGAATCCATTTATGTAAATGTGATTAATATAAATTTAATATATTTAACTATAAATCAAGAAATACAATTCCGACCTTGAAGAATGATACACCGTTTGAAAGATAATTAAATTCTCTCTCTTTGAGCTATGGAACACTTACGTCTAATCTTTTAAGGAATATTCAATAAAAATAACTAGTTAAAATAATTAATTAATATAATAATAATAATTTATGAAATGCCAGTTTGTATTAAACTGAATATTTATTATAAAATAGAGATTAAAATAAGTGTTGNCTGGTATCTCATGTCCCCGATATCTGCCGTATGTTTACGTGTAGTCCTGTAGTGAATGCGTTTGTCGTGAACTGTAGCCAAACCAAAGTCACATAACTTCAAAAATCTGCCGTTCCTTACGTTGTGCGCAATTAATATGTTTTCTGGTTTGAGGTCTCTATGAATGACCGGAGGATTCAATTCATGTAAATATTGAACGCATTCTAAGATTTGACGAAATATTTCACACGAAATGAAATACTCGTATAAATCCATGGGATCTCCGGCTTGTCTCTCAAATACTTGTGGTTTTACTTCAAGAATATTCTGCAGACTATTGGAACAGAACTCCATTTGTATGTAAAGACATCCGGTTTCACGCCATGAGTGGTAATATTGGACCACATATTCAGACTTAACTTTTTCCAAATTCTTTACTTCTTTTAATACATTTTCCGTTTCTTTTTCATCAAAATCTGTGTAAAAATATAGTTTTTAATACAATTTAGATTTCTATTTTTATTTATAGTATTACCATTAAATTTAATACATTTGACGGCAAATACCTGTCCATCATATTTGTGTTTCACTCGCAATACCTTCCCAAAACCACCCGATCCTATTACTCTCAACTCGTCAAAAGTTTTATCGTAACATTCATTAAAACAACGTTTATAATCAATAATAAATGTTTTGTATGTCATTTGGTGTTCGTTAGCGTAGAAATCAATAAAATTATTATAATTTGTATCTATCACTTGATTTTCATGTATTTGATATAACTTGCTGTTTGTCAACACAACTGTGGGTTGATTATAAAAATAATAACACGAGTCAATTTGTGGTAAATCAATAAAATAATTGCTTGTTTCCAATTGTTCTGGTATCATTACATTAATAGGTTTATCACTGCAATAATAACGTCCACAGAAATATATGAAACCACTGTTTGTTAGAAAATAAGTCATAAATCTTGTTGAAGTAATAGTTTTGATGTCATTTATAGTAGATATCAGTTTAGGACTAAATATAACTTCATTCATATTGTGTCCCAATTGATGCTCACTATTATCACCCCAACTGAACACAAGTCCGTCACATGTGATGGCAAATGAACACCAATAATTGCAATAAATTGTTTGGAATTTAGGATTATTTGTAAACTGTATTAGAGTTGGTTCACTAATACTATCATTTTGTTGTTCTCCACAACCAATCTGTCCCCAACTATTACACCCCCACCCATACACCTGTCCACTGGATGTGAGGGCTAGTGAGTGACGGGAACCACAACTGATTTGTCGGACATCTTTGTCGTCGAAAAACGATATTCTCTCGGCTTTTGAATAAACGTCTTCTGGTGTTTCATTTCTACCCAACTGTCCCCACCTGTTGGGACCCCAACTGTAGACATGATTCACACTATTCATAGCCAACACAAAGTCATATCCACTAATAAATGTATGTATCTTTTGATGACATAATTCTGGTATAGGTTGTGGTGAATGTATGGGCTCGTTGTGACCCAATTCTAGTTTTCCACAAACATTAGACCCCAACCCATACACCATATCATCTGTGGTTACGAATAGGATATTATGGTCTAATATATAATCCAATAACTCATATTTAAAAACATGAAATAATTTAATTTCTTGTTTCATATTTGAATCAATTTTATCACAAATTTCAAATTTCTCTAAAATTGAGCACATTTTCAAATTGAAACAAATTTAAATTTGGATTAATTGTAAAAGTACTTTATTGTAAGTTAATGTGATAAACAATTATTTATCACATTAATTATAATTAATTAGTTTCTGTTAGGAATCACAAAAAATAAAATAATTGTCTATATACTTATATTAGTATTTAATAATATTTTCAAAATTAATAAAAAATATCGTTTGTTAAATATATTATATTTAAAACTTACTATTATTATTAATTTACTGAACAGTGTTGTATTAAACGAATGCAATTGTTGTTCACAAATAGATTGTGTTATTATAGCAACAGATATTAATCTGAAATCAATTCACTTGTAGTCTTAATATGTCTTAAATGTCAATCAATTGTATATTATGTGGAAATACTTTAGCTTAACCTTTGAATTGTTAGATAATACAAAAGATATTATTATAGCACAGGGAGGTCCAGGAGGGCAGGGATGAGAAAGTGATGGATGACTAGGTCTGAGCGGAGCTATAGGAACAGTAGGTCGCCATCGATGAGGACCTGACTGTCCGTTTAATATCTAAATGAGACGGGTATTCAAGTCGTTACCGAGTGCTCCCATTTTCTCATACATACCCCTTACCCATACCCTCACCCATATATTAGGTCGTATAGAAAGGTTGTTTCTGGCTATAATTTAAATTTTTCTGGAATGGCTGAATATTTTCAAAAGCGGTTTGTTTTAGTGAATAGCCTAATAATCCGAGAATTTTTTGCACAAAAAATAAATTTT